AGAAACAGTGAGCTTGGAGAATCTACCATTTTTACAGCAAGTAATAAGTTAACCTGGTCTTTGTCCAAGGGGAAATGTCACCTCATCTCTGTGTTACCCTGAGAAACGGCACGAGTAAAAGAGCAGGTGACTGGGGCCTTGCTGTCTTGGCACACCCAGCAAAACACTGAAGATCACAAGAGGACCAAGGAAGACTGTCTCTCCAAACATGTGTGTTTGTGTGTGTGTCTGTGTCTTTCTCTCTCTCTTTCTCTGTCTGTGTGTGTGTTCCTAAAACCTTCCACAAATGAGAATCAATTAGCTCTGTGTAATCTGAAATGTTTTACTAAACACATTAAACCAACAATGGAAATGTTCTCTTGTATCCCCTGTCATCCATTGGAGTGAGCCCAGGTTTGCCATTCTCTCCTTTGGTCTTGTTTTTGTTCTTCTTCTTAAAATTATTTTTGAAACTCAAAAGCAGAGAATTAGTTAATTTTCTCTCTCTCTCTCTCTCTCTCTCTCTCTCTCTGCTAAGTTCATGGCACAGTATTATCGTTAGTATCAGTCTAAGCAAGAACCCTTCTTATTTAATTTCTGTATGTATGTCTATATTTCTCTAATTCCCGTTTATCCCCTCCCATGGACAGCTACTCTAATAAATTTGATATGTATATTTGAATTCATATATATCCTTATAAAATATTATAGATTTTTTGGTATGTGTATGTGTTTACTTAAATTCTAAGTTTGAAAGTATTTCACATTTATAGAAAAGTTGCTGTAGTAGAAAGATTTCCCATGTGTCTTTTGCCCAGATTAAAAAATTATTGATATTTTGCAACACTTGTTTTATCTCTCTCTTTCTGTATTTGTACATATATTTTTTTTCCTGATATCTTTGGGAATAAGTTGTAGATGTTATGTCTCTTATTCCTAAATATTTCAGCAGATGTTTTCTAAGAACAAGGAGTGTTATCTTTTATAGTCACAGTACAATGATCAAATTAGAATACTGGACATTGATTACTACTATCTAATATATAGTCCATATTCGAATCCATTAATTGTCCCAGCAATGTCCTTAATTTCAATTTTCTCCCTAATCCAGTTTTCATTGCGTTTACTTGTGTCTCTTGAGTATTTAATCTGGAATAACTCCTCAGCCCTTCTTTGTTATTCAAGAGTATATAGGTAACTTTTGTATACTTATATGGTGTAGTACTGAAGACCTTGTTCCCTTTCTTAATTTTTTTTTTTTTTTTTTTACTGTTTTTGAGATCTACTCATATTTATGTGTAGGCTTCTGTCTTGTTTGTTACTTCTAACTTCTGGTTAGTATTCCTTGGTATACATCTGCCAAAGTTTACTTGTCCATTTCCCAGTGACAGACACTGGGATTGTCTTCAACTCTTTGCTATCACAAATAATTCTGCCACAAACATTCTCATATATATTCCCTTTCAGAACATTTCTGAAATATATCTGTAAGAATAGGCTTTTGGGTCATAATGTATCTGCCTATCTAATTTGACTAAGTTCTGATGAATTGCTCTCTAGAACAGCTGCCCTAACCATACTACAACTGTCATGCATTTAGATTCCTGTTTCTTTACATGAGTGCCAACACTTTCTCCTAGCTAAATTCTAATTTTTGCCAATGTGATGGTTTTAAAGTGACATCTTGTTTTATTTTCTCTGATAGCTAATGAGTTTCACTTGTTTTCCCAACATCTTCAATGATAGAGTTTCTTCAGGAGGGAACCTATCTTTAAAAAAAAAAAAAAAAGTATATATATTTATATTACTGTAATATATATATATTACTGAATAGTATATATACTATATATAATAGTATATATATTATATTATACTGACAAGTGTGTGTGTGTGTGTGTGTGTGTGTGTGTGTGTGTGTGTGTGTATATAATTCTGAATAGCCCCTAGAAGTATCTTTTAAAACTGATGTCATGAAGGGCACTTTGTGTCACTGCCACTGAACTACTTGACACTGGCAGATCATTTGGGGATTTCTTATATTTGAAATATTGGCTATAAAAGTGTATATCCTCTTTAGATGACTGAAACCTAAATCCTTAGACAACTATCTAAAAAGATTGTTGGTAGAAATAGAATTCAGGATTTTCTCCAGTTCATTGGTTTTGAAATCCATTTGCTTATATAATTCTGAAAGGATTTTTCAAAATCATGTACCTTATAGTATGTTTTTCAGTTGATATTTAAATTTTTTCCTTTTATGTCTTAGTAATTGGAAAGAATATAATTTCTAGATTATTGCAAATATTGGCATTTAAAAATAGAATTGTTATATCTATCCCTCAAATATATCCAATTTAAATGCCATGGCAAGTAGGTAACTATCATTAGGTGTTTAAAAAATGAATGAGTAGGTTCTAGTCAAAATTTACTTCTTTTTTTCTTTTAATTCAGTGTGCCCATTTTCTTCCAGAATTTTATCTTAATGTATACTTTAATATACCATAATATATTTTAAAAGATATTTTATGCTTGAGTATTTTAAAGTTACATGCTGTATTATATATTTCTGCATCAGACATGTAAATTAAAATTACATTAATTTTTTTGTGAGCATAAAGAAAATAATTATGTTCTTTTAGACTTAATGTTCATTACATTAAAACAATTATTAGTGATTGATTGGAAGAACACATACATATTATAAATTTTGGTAATTAAGTATATAAATAAAGTTTTTATTAGAAGATATGTCTTTAATTAGATGTATTTTTTCAATTATTGCATTCATCTCTGTATTGCTAGAATAAGGCAGGATTTCAGCATCAATTTGATTCCTATATTTTGTTTCTATAGATGTGAATGATGAGAAAATTTGTTCACATAGAAGTAGTCAGGGATAAAAGGAATTTATTATAGAAATATTACTCAGTTCTTTAAACTATTTTTGAGTTATTGGACAAAATATAACCATGGTAATCTATCACCAAAGAATAGTTTTTAAATTTATCAGCTGTTACTTTGATTATATCCTCCTGAAACTTGATGAAAGTAAGGAATTGGAAACCACCTGTTATAGTTTAATTACAATCAATCATTGAAAGTCATTATCTTGCCTTAATTCTGACACAGATGTTTCCAGTTGTGTCTTTTCTTGGCATCCATGCATTTATACTCCACAATGTACTATTGTAAAATTATGGGGAGATGAAAGATATGCCTTTCTTTTGTAAGATAGAAAATATGATTTTGAAAGTAGAACCTTGACTTTTTCTTTTGGAAAAGAATAATAAGAAAGTTGAGGGTCTCAAAACTGATACTATTAAAATTTCCTATATGTGCCTTAATAAAACACAGGGGTATGTATAAGATTGCTGCTAAAAAGAAATAATATTTTTAAAGCTATAATTACTTGAAAAGAACTGTGGCAGTAACAACATAGTAGCATCAACTTTTGAGAGAAATAAGTAATGCTAATTTTACTGAAGTATACATTTACACTACTGAACTTTTTGTGTAAATTTGTAATTGATTGTTCTGACAATACATGTCTAATTCAACACACTTGAAACTTCACTTGCACATTTCTAGAAATCCATTCAAGGAGGCTAAGTATTCAAGGAGGATGCTGAAGTCAAACTACAACATTAAGTATTGATGTTCTTGGAAGGTTATTTGGTGTTTTAATTTAGGACTCTGGATGCTCTCATACACTTCTCTTTCTTTATATTGTTTCCTCCACCTGAATTACTAGCTCCTGCTCCCTGTCCATCTTATGTGGACATATTATGTCTTCATTACACTGCTTTTTATATTATACTATGAAGGTCAAACTATTCTACTTCTTAAACATTTGACCAATCTAATCCCTGTTTATTTAGTGCCCTAGACAGAACACCATCATTTCTCAGTTGATAATGATCTTTTGACTACTTCCCCTGGCTCCATTCTAATCCCATTCTACCATGGATAATTACCTAATATGCACATCAATTTCATATTCTCTGACTCAGAAATCTTTAGTTGTTTATACTAACAAATCTTTCATGTTTTCACATTGCCAAGAGGACAGATATTAATGCTTACTTTTATTTATCTTGTTCTTATCTATTCTCAGCTACCTTTCCAGATTTTTTTCTCCAGCAACTATCTTCTGTTTTATACTCTAGTCACATTTCCTTGAACATGTATCATGGTGCATTTATTAGAATGTCACAATGGACTCATAACTTTGTTTTTAAGCACTATTCAACCTAAACTTATGGCTACTTGTGAGGAAAGGTTAAAATGTATTTATATGCAATGAGTATATTCTTTTTAGAAAAATTTTTTTATCATTGAAATGTGTTTTTAGATCACATTTTAGCACTAAACATAGCTATATGAGAAAAAAAACTTTGAAAAATGAAGGGAGGCCATAAAAAAGAAAAAAACATAATTTTTAAATGTATCAAGGCTTATCAAAAGGTGTTTTGAAAACACACATACACACAAACATGTGTATTTAATTCTCCTCTATCAGTATTAATAAGAAAAAGAACTGCTATGTTTGGCCTGTAACCTAGAACTCAACGGATCATAGCTAGTTTTTATAATTCCCTTTTGTATTCAGCATAGTGAGATGGGATGGACACTAATATGTTAAAAACCAGGTCCTACTAACAACCTCAACACTTATGAATTGTATGATCTTTAACAGGTCATTTATCTTTGCTAAATCTCAATTTTTTCATCTGTAAAGCAAGGATTAGTATATATTCTACTCAATAATAGATTGAAACATATGAGATAACAGGTGAGAGTATATTATAAATTTAAAGAGATTTAGACATATGTTGTATCACTGGTATATTACTTAGTCTCTTTAATCCTGTACTTCTTTAGAGGATCTGGCCTATCTTGATGGATGGCATATGTTGATAAGGCTAATAAATGGCCACATAAGGAAATAAAGGATGTGTCGGGAGTTTGCTTTATTTTTTTTTCTTATTTCTTTCTTTTATGTTTCTTCCTCATTAAAATAGTTTTGGTATGAACCATGATGGAATTGGAAATTCTTGTGGGACGAAAGGTCATGAAGCAGCAAAACTTATGGCAGCTCACATTACTGCAAATACCAATCCTTTTTCCTGGTCTGCATGCAGTCGAGACTACATCACCAGCTTTCTAGAGTAAGTAATCTCTGGAGAGTGATGATGAATTGCTCCAAAAGTAAGCCATTGGTATAAGCCGAATATGTACTGCTTCAAACTTTGCATAATGAGTAACTTTTAGGACCCAGTGATACCTCAGTTGTTCCACAAATACCTTATTTAATATATCATTGTGGCAAGTTTTTTTCTTCAAATAGAACTTATTGAGTAGATTAGAGGAAGTAGAGCAAGGGTCTAAGTGGGGCTGATGATGTGAGTGTTACGGTTGTTCAATAAATGGGAAACAATTTCAGAAAGCATTTAGACTTACATAATTTAATATAACATAAGCCAAACTTTAAATCAGTGATTATGTATTTCCTTTTGTTACTGAAAAAACTGAGTTCTATAGAAGAGCCAAAGTATCTAATAGTAACAAACAACAACAATGACAAACCAAACACCCAAGAAATGAACACTTTATGAAAAAGATTTGTCTTTGAAAATTATTGTGACCCTTTTTTTCTAAAGTTTGAGAATTTTTGTTTTTTGTACTTTAATGTATATTCCAAAAGTATAGTTATCTAAATGTGAAGAATGTAAATTAACTCAGGTATAACTATGTTTAAGAAAGCAGATGTTCTTCTGCATCTCAATTGCACTGGGCTTCAGAATTGGATTTTAGAAACTGATGGACTTGGTTCTCACTTTCTAATGGTGTGACTTTGGGCTTGTTACTTACTTTGTCTAATCTTCAATTTCCTAATTTGTTAAATGAATTTGACATAATACTTACATAATCAGATATTATGCATATGATTATATATCATGCTATAATGTATATAAAGCATTTAATAGATAGTCATTAGGTAGTAAATATTATAATTTTAAATGATATCAATATTTCAGTTCTTCACTGCTCTACTATTATGTTTAGCTGTTTTGTGCCATATTGTTCGTAGGGAGGAGAGTTTAAATATTATGTGAAGAAGTGAGGCATACATAAAATACAAAGCAATGGAAATTATTTTTAAAAATTGACTTTGTTCAAAGTTTATGTTAACAGAATTATATTGCAAAATTTTAAAAATTCATATGTTACAATGGGTAGCATTATTCATTAAAATTTTCTTCGTATCTACTAATAGCCAGATTATATATTTTGAAAACTTGTAATTAAATATTTTTAAAAGCCCCTAAACAAGAGATTTTAAATTACCTAGCACAATGCTTTACTCAAAAAACAAAAGATAAATGTTCAAAAACGGCTCTTTTAAATGAATTAATGTAATAATAAAGTTGAAGGAATTAATTTATTTTGAAGGTAGTTCTTCCGATAACCATATTATAACCTAACAATTTTATGTCTTAGTAATAGATAATATAACACTTTACTTGCCTAGTGTATAAACTGACTGAAGTGCTATAAATAGGATAGACCACGGAGAATTTGTTTGACATCTTTTGGTAGTTTTTAACACAACACACTAGAGCCATCATTTTCTGAAATGGTTTTAATGAGATTATTTAGCTAAATTTTAAACATTGTTGAAGATCTACTCTCCCTAAAAATCAAGACAGATCTGGCATTTCTCCCTTCATTTGGCTCTATTATAATATATATAATAGAGACCTAGGATCTGTCACCGGAAAGACAAACTGTGTAACATGCTCAGTATTCCTGTGCATTTTTGATGGCTGCCGTTTTCTTGTTTTTTTTTTAAAGTACCATTTTCTTTTCTCCTCTATCCTGTTTCTGTCCCATTGGTTATTGCACAGCTCATGTCTAGTACCACCTCTGTATTGCAAATATAAGGAACAGTTTTGATCTCTTGCCAGATCTTGTCTAGTTGAAACCATATTAAGGCTGTTAAGACACTCTAAAAGGGAATCTCTAAGTTACTGGTAAAATACAGTTAAGAAATCACCACTGGTTTGGTGAGGGATGTAAAATTATCGCTAGTCGCAATAAAGTGTTTCACTGAGTTAAAAGAATTAATACAAAAAGCATTATTTAAACTTTGTTGCCTGTTTGCATTTTGTATGTGTAAGCATGATTAGTGTTGATGGGGTTCTAATGGGCTTATTTATCCTGTATTTGTAAAAATATTTCTCTTATGCATCCTCATGGGAATGCTCACAAAGTTAAAACCATTAATAAAAGATAGATGTGAAAGATAATGGGTAGGGATTGGGGGAATGTTGGCTTTCCCTGCCCCCTTTACTAATAAACTAAACAAATCTGATTATAATCTTACCAAGGAATAAAGGGTTTTTAAACACATGGCCCTTTTTAAAGGTCAATTCACTGGAGCACAAAGACATAATAGTAACTTTCTTGAATTTCTTTGTTCCTTTTTATTAATGCAGTGAACTTAATTGCTTTAACAGCTATGCATGATATTTTTAAAAATCCAGTGATATTTTGATCAGGGATTGAGGTTACAGTTATGTTTTATAGTTGGCTCAAAAAGGCTCATAACATTTTATTTTAGCTTCTCTTCTCAAGAAAAAGAAGTCTTGAAAGATGAATTGTTTAGGAACTGCAGCCCAGCCAACAAAACACATACCTTTCTCTACTTAGTGACTGTATAGGCCAAAGATGATGGTGAATTTTAACAATGAGCTTTCTATGATTTATAGAGATTCACTATTCACTATGTTTAACTGAAAACAATTCCATGGCCTTTAAATGCCAATAGAATACAATCTCTTCGTGTCATTCTGAAACACTAGGTGCTATTGATCAATCAGGAGATGGTGTTTACCAACTCCCAATATTTTTTTTCAGATTTCTTAAACTCGGTGATTCAATAAGTGGTTCATGAATCGCCCAGAAGCCGTCCTGATTAAATAATAAAGAACCCATTTCCGTTAAAATGGACGTGTTATGCCAGCTTCTGATGTTTTCCGACGACGGCTTTGCAGGTAGTGTCTTCCCTATCTGCCTGCGGGACTTATTTATTTATTTATTTAGAAAACAGAGAAAGGTGAACCTGGTATTATGGCTCTCACTCGTTGATAACTATGGGCTAATTTACCAGGCAGTGGAAGGCAGCCAGAAGTAATTTAAACCAGTTTTTCATATATTTTCCACCGCTTAGCAATAGTACAGAGTAATTTCATATAGTTTTCAAAAATTATGGGGGCTCTGTGAATCAACTCTTGCTCTATTAAAATTAAAATCTGTTAAATTGTTTGAACTATCCAAGATTCATAGAAAAATTTCCTGCAGTTCCAAATTAAATACAAAGTAGCCATTTTCACTTAAAGGATAGAAGATGAATGCATTAAGAAAGGCAAAGTTATGGTTGAAATTAAATTAAGAAAGGTGAGAGCAGAGCTACAAGGGAAGTGATAGGATTAATAGGATGACCAAGGTGATGACATTTCCTCTCTAGCAATTGCCTTTGAAGGTCAACATGAATCTATTAGATAGAAAATAATCTTTATAGATGGAGCCTTTTTTAAAAAATGTAGAATCCAAGAAAGAGCTTGGCAAAACAGGTTTCTCCTTCTGTTTATCTGATACAATTGGGGAACCTTGCTCTAGCCATAAATGGCTTTGAGTCATAATTATCTATGGGGGGAGAAAAAGTATACCACTCTCAATACAGTATTTGTATCCTGGAAGTTTCAAGTTCAATTATATTCAAGCATCCCAGTCATACAGAGAGTGAGAGAAAAAGGTTTGACTTCAGAAGATAATATATTGTTAATTTCACAAGGATTGATAAAGCAGTTTATGAGAATGTAGTAGGTAAGACACTTGACTTGCTATAGATGATATGAACCAAATTCTTTTTTGCTAAATTTATGTGAATCAGGACAACTTAATGGAATATAAATAGGAGACGGCATTAAATGTTAATTTTTTGTTGTTGTTAAGAAATGTGTAAGGTTATATAGAAGGATTTATTTTTTAGATTGACCCACTGTATTATAGACTGAAGGTCTATCCTTTGTAGTATAATTATTTTAGTGAAAATAAATCTAAAATCACATTTAGGAATATATTTTCATGTGCTCTGGAAACAAAGCCAGAAGTGCATATTTTGCATAGGGATCTGTAAATTTTAGTCAAAGACTGAACTCTGGCTCATATTCCTATATTCAAGGCTAATTTTTGGACTGTGTAAATAAGACCTCTCTAAATTGAAAGTAGAATACATAAAATATGACTTCCCCATCATGCTGCAAACATTTCTGGAAATGTAAATATACTTTGATTTATGATGATTTTTCATAATCAAGGAAGCAGCATATTCTTACACTAATATATATGTTTTTGCTTGGTCTTAGAAGCATAAACATGGTATGCATCTGTAGTTCCAGCTACTTGGAAGGCTAAGGAGGAAGGATTGCCTGAGCCTAACAGGTTGAGGCTGCAGTGACCATGAGCGTGCCACTGCTCTCTAGCTTGGGAACTAGTGAGAATCCAACTCAAAAAAAAAAAAAAAAAAGAAGCATAAGCAAAAGAAGAGTCTATAAATTCAATAATTATCTATATTGCTGTAGATATTAACTAAGGTTGCATTTTTAGTTGTAAAATATATGCTACTAGGGAAATAATCACAGATCTACTTTTTATATAGAGAATTTTGCCCTGGACAAGTATATCAATGCTTAATAATAGTAAGTTGTAACATCTCATACATTAAAACCAGCAGTATTCTACATTTAATTTATTAATGAATATGGTTTATAATTTTTGAGTGGAAATACTTGCATATGACACCAAGGCACAAACCATTTATATTTAAAAGTATAAATTGATAAGAAAATTTTAGAAGATTTGTATATAATATCACTGTAGTACTATTCTTATTTTGATAGTAGTATAAGTAACACTAAGGTTCACATCATAAGAATTGTATAGTTGTATCTCAATTACATAGAATTCTAGATTAAGTAAAAATGTCCCATAACTGCAATTTTTTAAATAAGATAATTGCAAAGTACATGACAATAATTTATATCTAATACCTTATGAAAGGAAAAACATTTTCACAGTTATTGTATACCAGGAAATGTACAAAATATGTTCACAGCGTAATTTGTAGTTTAGAAATGGAAAACAATCCAAATGTTAATTAATTGAGGAATGGTTAAATAATTATGGCATAGTATTAAATGGAATATTAAAGAACAATAAAAATGAACAAGCTATAGTTATACACATCAACACAAAGTATCTCATATTTGCAGTATTGAGCAAAAGGATACAGTCACAAACAAAATCCTACAGTATGACTACTTTTATATAGAGTCCAAAAACAGGCAGACGAATAATCGGAAAGTAAAATTATCAAGAAAAGCAAGGAAATAATTATTATAAAAAATAAGAGTATTAGTTACCTCTTGGGGAAAATAAGTGATGTGATTGGAGTTGAGCACTTGGGAATTTTATTAGGAAAAAAAAATAAGAGAAAGCACTTCCAGGATCCATCTCTCAGATCCATGTCTTCTACCGTCTGCACCTATATGTGTAATATTTCATAATGGTAATGGATGACTCAGTGGCACAGAAATATCCAGAATTATCATTTTAAAGATTAATTAATAATAATGATCAACTTTACTTACTTGAAAATGGCAAGAAAGTAATAGACAAATTTTAGTAACATTATACAAAAAGCATTTTTGTTGCTTTACCCTCAGTGAAGAATGAAAATATGAAAACTACTCCATGCCTCAAATATACTGTATATACCAGATATAGTTACTGGGAGGAAAATATACTATACATGTAATAAATATGTATAGAAATGTAGAAACAATTCAAATCAGCCTTGCAGATATCCTCACACTTGCTTTACCAAAAGGCATTTGACTTGTAAGCATTGCTAATTTGTACAAATATAGCCAAACCTATTTCAAAAGGCCTTTGTTGATTCGATGTTCCTAAATACAGGTTCATTTTTAAAAGATCCATATGGTTTTCCCTTATATTTTATTTCATATGGTGTTTTATTCTTCTGTAAAAATATACTGTAAAAGGAGAACAAGACTTGTCTAGACCACATTAATACAAAGCAATAGGTGCTTCCAAAGAACCGAAGCAAAAATACACTTTTGGGATAAACTTGCTCAGAAGAGTTTTGGCCATAGGTGCCCGTGGTACAAAGCATTCTTGGTCGTCCATAAGCCCTTGCAATGATCATCTGAAAGTATACAAACCATGATTAGAAGATCGTTAATGCCTTGAAAAAAGAATTTTAAATGAAGTAACTATTCTTGCTTCCTTCTGGGTTAAGCTGATTTTCAGTTTGCCATCAGGAAAGTATTTTTTTCCTTAGGCTATCTAGAACTCTTTTTGGGGGTCCACATAGTTCTTCCTCTAAGTTTCTAGTTTAATTTCCTGTATTTCTAAAATTAATTATATTAATCATTTTTAATAGATTCTAAGTTGGTATCACTTGGGTGCATACATATCCTACACTTTTTTGTTATGCCTTTGGCAAATATTTTTTACCTACAGGATCCTGTATTTCAGTACACAATTATAAATGTTTCCGTAGATTTATAATAGTGCTTAACTTCTTACTTTATTTTTATTACATGTTTAATTTATTTCCTTAAAATATTAATGATTATATTGTAGATAAAGAGGAAACAAATACTTTTTGTTTTGTTTTTACTTTATTTTATTATAAAGATGTGGGATTAGGTACCTAAGTAATATATGTGCAGGTAAAGTTTGGGCCTCCAGCTGGTCTACACTTTCCCTGGTACTCCAGTAGCACAAGGGGAGGATTAGCAGTCATAGGACACTGCCGGGGGTGGAGGGTGCACATAGCAACTTGAGACAAATAGTTTGGAAGGAAAATTGGGGAATGAAACTTATTGCCATCTCATCAATATTCATATTATCAAAATGGTCTTTCTTTTTCCATTATACTATTCAAGATGGTCTCTTTATCATTAACCTTAAGATACAGAGGGTGCCAAAAAATGTATACACATTTGAAGAAAGGAAAAAAACCCTGTATTAAAATTTTAATACTCATTATATACTGATAACAAAAGATGAATACAAGTCATGTTTGACTTATGCAAATACAAGAAGTGCTCAAAGTGGTTACCATCAGCATTCAAACACTTCTGATTATGGTCTGAAAGTAGATAACATCTCTTGAAATGTGTACACATTTTTTTTGGCACCCTGGTATAATTCCAAATTTACTAGTGGAATTACATTTGCTGAAAGTTTGCGTGTCCATGTAGATTAAAGATATTTTACATAATAAAATAAAAAGTACTTGGTATTTAAAAAATTTATCTAGAAATAATTTTTTCTTGCTAAGGTACATGTCAACTTATAAAAGTAAAATAAAAAGGAAATAAAAAATATTCTGCTATGAAAATTGGATAGCTGGGTGAAAACAGGTTGTTCTCTGTTAGCTGGATACCTTGAGCAGTACAAGTGAAATGATTGTAACAGCCAATAGTAAAATCCATCTATATTAGTATCATATTTAATATTTCATCTAATTATTTTTATTGATAAAAAATTAGGAGTACAAAGAAGAAGACAATATTCTGTCTCTTTGATCTTTGGATCTATATTACCTTAGGAATAATATGATTCAATTTTTTTAAGGTATTAATTTTCTGCTGTGCAAATATACATTGGTATATAACAAATTGACTTTACATTTTAAGAATATAAGAATTTTTAAGTGAAATATGAAACTCAATATGAAACTCATTGTTATACATAGTTCTCACTTATCTATAAATGAAAATTTGTACTGTTCTAAATAACAGTTGAGGAACTTCTACTTGTGAAATAATTTTCCTTTGGCAAAGTGGATGGAAAAGATTTAGGAAAAAAACACACACACACAAGTGCTGGCACAATGGACAGGAATGTCGGAAAAAATTTTTAAATGTTGGCATAGGAATTCTTTAAAAATTCTAACTTACTCACATGTGAAATGAAAGTAAGAAAGCATCTGTCCTATTTTATGCACACTGACTAAATAAAAGTGAACAATTATATATAGCAAAGTTTAAAGCTCTTTAAACTAAGGTATTCTGTCTGGCTTTTGGCGATCTTTATGTTATTCGTTCCAATGAATTAAAATATTATGTTTGAGTACAGGCATACTTTGAAAAGCAGAAATTATAGAGAGAAGAGAACATTCTCTTTTCCAATTCTTATGACCCTAGATGAAATATGAAATTTTTGAGAGAAGACTAAACACTTCTAATATACTTGAGAGGAAAACTTTGGACCCTAGCCTCATCTGTCATTCATCTTCATTTATTAATGAAATATTTCAAGAGCCTATGGACATGTCTTGCTGCAGCATCTATTGTTCTGCCCAAGGTGAAAATGTATGAATTAGGTCTTTAAGGATTGCAGCCGTATTTTTTTTTTAATTATTCTGCATTTCATGTTTTTAACTCTACTACCAGATGTGGTTATATTTTCAATGAAAACAAACAAGAAGCTTAGAGCAATATGAAATTCTGTTTTGATTCCTTCAGAAATTAGTTTAAATTAAAGGCCAATGTGACATGTCCAGTTTGTTGTCCGAGATGCTTTTATTGTGTCTTGGTGGTGAAAAAAAACTATTTGGAGCTCTTATTCAGTAAAGCTATTCTACTTTGTAATGTAATTTTTTATTGGGGGAATGTATGGTTTTTCATGCGTCAAGTTGTTAAAACAGAGTTCAACACATGGTTTCATAATTGTGACTGAAGTAGTCCATAGAGTGCCTAATTTCCTTTGATCCTTTATGTTGAACAGTTCAGGCCGTGGTACTTGCCTTGATAATGAGCCTCCCAAGCGTGACTTTCTTTATCCAGCTGTGGCCCCAGGTCAGGTGTATGATGCTGACGAACAGTGTCGTTTCCAGTATGGAGCAACATCCCGCCAATGTAAATATGGGGTAAGAAGTCTTAATCCTTATGTTTAGTCATTAATATGTGTTCTTTCATGACACAGATGTTAAAATGAAATTATTATGAGCATAGTTTGCCTCCAGTACATTTTTAAATATAGCTTTTTTTGATCTCATTTGTATATGTATTTGTAAATGTTTGAATAATCTAAATTAGACAAGTTTCAAATTTCTTGTAAGAGACGCAGACAGAATTTTAATAACTTTTAATGTGCTTATTCTTTAAGTCTTGAGTTTACAATGCCAACTTTATTTTATCTTTTGAAATGTTAATGATTTGTTTAGTTAGTTAGTTAATTTTATTAATATCATTTTTTTGAGTGAGAGTCTCACTCTGTTGCCCAGGCTAGAGTGCAGTGGCACACTCATGGCCACTGCAGCCTCTACCTGCTGGGCTCAGGCTATCCTTTCACCTCACCCTTCCAAGTAGCTGGAACTACAGGCACTTGCCACCATGTCTGGCTAACTTATTTGATTTATTATAGAAATGAAGTTTTGCCAAGTTGCCCAGGCTGGTCTCGAGCCCCTGGACTCAGTCAATCCTCTCACCTCTGCCTCCCAAAGTTCTGGGATTACAGGTGTCAGCCACCAAACCCGACTATTAAGGGTTTTAAAATCCCTCTCTACTCTCCTTTTCTGATACTTCTGATACTGGGCCAAAGGGAATTTGTGCGTTGGGTAGATGCCTTTAATTTAACTTGCTAGTACTAAGTCATTTCACATTGCTTCATCCATTGCTCACATTCTAACACGGCAACCAAGCAAGAACAAGATAACGTGAACCCAAAAAGTGAAAATTGCTGTGAAAAAAATGTATATATCATAATTTACTCTACATGTCTGCCTTAAAGAAAGCCAGTTTCTATATCAGAAAAATGTATAAAAATTCTTTTTAAGTTTCATAGAGCAAGATTTTAGTGTCTAGTATAGAGACATGTTCATAGTAGGAATACACTATAAACATGTTAGATGAAAAACTAGGTTTAAAAAAAATGTCAAATTGTTTGCCAAAAAATATTCAGGCTTAAAAAATAACCTGGTTCCTACCTTTGTACAAATAACCTTTAGATCTCTATTTAAAAATAATGATAAAAGAACTTAGGTTTTAAGATATTTAAGACTAAATGATATTCTCATTGTACTGTCCCGATTTAATTATTCTTCTTGGGTACAGTACAAAGGGAAGTTTTTTTTTTTTTTTTTATGTCTCTTGGGTTACAAGTATATTATTAGTCTTAGTAGGCTTTGGCAGCATATTTTTGCACTAGATTTAAAGACTGTTTGTGATTATCTGGATATGTGAATCCTTGAGTAAAACTGGCCTTTCCTGTCTCTTTGTAAAGAGACTTTTATTTGTATGTCTGTATGGTGCTAGTTTCTTTTGTTCTTATATTGTTTATCCCTCAAAAGAAGTCAAGCAAACTTTATAGTCTTTGTATATACTTGTGTATTCATAAATTTAAATTCTTTGTCAATTGAGATTAGAGATTTTCTGTTAGATTATTCTTAACCATGTCTCTCATTTCTTTATTAGCAAATGAAATTATTAATCTGTATTTTAGTTTTTCTTGGAAATTGGGTTTTAACTCTACCTATAAATGTCCATATTGGATAATTTATGTTAGCAGTTGGACAGAATCTATGGATGCGATTTTTTTCTTTCTGAAATAATTTGTTTAAAAATTGACTTAATTCTCCTCGCTGTATCTGTATATTTCATTCAGTTCAGACTAATTGAATTGAAATGAGATAAATAGTACAAAACTATACATTTTCAGTCTATGCTCTTCATAGTCTGCTTTTAGATTCTTTTTATTTTTTTGAGTCAGAGTCTCACTCTGTCACCCAGGCTGGAGTGCAGTGGCACACTCACAGCCACTGCAGCCTCCACCTGCTGGGCTCAGGCAATCCTTCCACCTCAGCCTTCGAAGTAGCTGGAACTACAGGCACCAGATGTGGTTATATTTTCAATGAAAACAAACAAGAAGCTTAGAGCAATATGAAATTCTGTTTTGATTCCTTCAGAAATTAGTTTAAATTAAAGGCCAATGTGACTTGTTCAATGTGACGCCCAGCTAATTTTTTGATTTATTGTAGAGATGGGGTCTCACCAAGTTGGTCAGGCTGGTCTCAAGCCTGTGAGCTCAGGCAGTCCTCTCATTTCAGCCTCCCAAAGTGCTAGGATTATAGGCGTGAACCACCACACCTGGCTGCTTTTAGATCTTAATAAGTCTGAAATAGATATGAAATAAAATTAGAATCGTTGGGACAATACTTTAGTATGTTTCGAAACTATACAGTTTCATGTATTTTATTATGAACCTTTTCACTTTGATTTGCAGCAAAATGATGGTTTCCTTAGACTCATGTACTATATGAAAATGCATATGCTATTTTTTAGGCAATATATTACTGACAAAGTTTATTGAATCATAATAGATTCTTTACAATCACTCTCACCTCTTGAACTTGTGCTTGAAAGATTGGGTTTATACAAACCTACACTGGATTTTATCTGGTGAATCCCTAAGGTTTTAAACTATTCTAAATACAACTTCAGAAAACAAAAGTGGGTTTGAAGGTCAGAGTCCAGTTAGATTATCAAGCAATGCTTCAGATGGTAACTGAAGGGAAAACCAAACCAACTCTGATTTAGGTAGCTGAGTGTAGAAGTCAGACTGTAGCCGAAGAAAAAAACAAACCAACCCTGATTATGTAGCTGTCTCAATGTAGAATGTTGCAATGAATACTAAATACAGTTGCTGTAGACTTAGAAGAACACTAGCCTTTGCAGAGGAGACACATCTGGTATTGAAGAATCATGAAATGATTCCTCTTTCAACTAGCAGGTCTCTAATACTGTAGGGAAGGTTTTAAATAACTACAGAATGATCAGCTTTCTATCTCTTCCACTTTTATTATTATGTAGTCTTTGGTGGGCTACCAATGATTATATCTGTGGTTATGAAAAGTCTTGCCTGAATGCTAAGTGAGTAGGTTCATTAATACATGTATTAACTATGTTTGGAAACTTACATGAAAATTTTTACGCTATTTTACTCAGAGAAACATTTTTCACTATTACCCTTGCATATCGTCTATTATTTTCAGGTCTTCTTAAGTTTCAACAGAAGTTGTGAGGAGATTGTAATGATTATAAATTCAAAGAACAAGATAGTACAGTATAATATGCAAAGTAATATAGTTGTTTAATATAGTAACCTATAAGTGATATATACTTTCTAGTATTTACATGGTGACTTTTTTCTGAAATACTTCAGATTACATTGATACAAATAATAATTATCATATTATTTTTATGCATAAGGGAACAAAACATACAGAATATGATGTACCTACTTTAAAGCAAAAAAATGTCTAAATCTGTCGATTCTGTTTTCTACTATATATGGTACCTATATTAATAAAGCAAAGGTAGCAGATGTATTTTGTTTCAAAAGACACTTGTTACTCAATTTTATCAAATAATATCTGTTCTAAAAATTTTCTCAAAACTTCCCACCTTGTCCCAGTCTTTTTTTAGGAGAGAGGTGAACAGGAGACCCCCTCTAAAATTATTCTGTGGAATCATAAATTCTCAGGCGTCTGAAACCTTGAGTCTTGGATTTGAGTGGATTTATTTCTCTTACCTTATATGAAAATATAGGACTGCTTCAAGATAAGATGCAAATACAAGCAAGCAGCATGTAAAGCTTGATTCCTAGTAGATCATCTAAAAATATCTGCTAGCTATGTTAGTAGGTTTCTAAGGGGCCTTGGATGACTCTTAGATAAAATACATTGTGAATAAATAGCAATATCAGTATGTTCAAGTAATACCTTTTTTTTTTTTTTTTACCTATTTTAAGTAACAAACTCCTGTAAAACTATAGAACCTGTGTCTCACTTCTCTTCTAGCTTCCACTAGTCTTCTCTTCCTTATTAGAAACAAATTATAAAAAACTGGATTAATTAAAAGCATATTTCAGTAATAAGTTTAAACTTAGGAAGGAAGTCTTTAATGAGCATATATAACATGGGGGCTGTAGGTGATCCTTTGCTTCCCAAAAAGCACAGATAGATTCAGGGCTCAATCTCAGACTTAGCTCTTTATTTCTTTATTCTGTCACTTTAAATAATATTCCAAACATTGTTTTTAAATACACTTAATAGTTAAGTATAGGATAATCTCCAGTACATAATTTACTGTTAACCATCAAGAGATGATTATTCGTATATATAGATTTAAGACCAAAAAAGTGAGAAATTTTATAGACATTATAGCTTTGTTTAATTTCTAGAGAATTTTTATTATCTATGTAGTTAGTCACTGTTTACACAGACTTAAGGGTTAGCATACAATTGCATAACAATTTTCTGTACATTGTTATTACCTATTTTAAATGCAGAACTGAATAATGCTTTATCAACCATAAATGGGAACACATGCTCTAATTCATGCTTCACAATAGAACAGAATATTTTAAATTTTAAAGAAGTACACCATAAACTATTACCTATGACATGAAATTGACCATTGACAGAGTTTACTTAGTCTTGTGCACCTTTTTTGGATGAACAGTAGTTAAGTTGTTCTATAAACTTCAGGGAGTAAGAGGGGATGACAAGCATACCAAGTGCCTTTCATTTGCCTATCATCTGTCCTCCATGATGGCATTTCTGTATAGCTGCTAACACTGGTACTGCTTTAGGAGAATCTGAACTTTTGCATTTTGGGGAGCATATTAAGATATTGCAGGAGTCACATATTGACTCAATCTTACTCTTCAGTTGCAGCACAAATGCAGTCTCTCTACAGACAGGCCTTCTGTGTGATCATTCTCTATGACAAGTCTTTTCCCAGTCACTCTTTTTCGCTGCTTATTTTCTTTATATCACTTATTATAACCCATAATCATTTTGCTTATTTGATTACTTATTATTTAAATGTGCTCTTCGAGATGAGGCCTTTCCTGACCACCTTACTT